ACCAATTATGTGCTTAGTCACTTAGCAGCTAGTGTGGCTAGCTAGCACATTGTTTAGCATAAACAGTTGTCAATTTAAAGTTTAGTCAGTTTAATAACATTATTTTGATTTTGTACCAAATAATCCTCAGTTAAACAGACTGAATGTAAAGCAGAGATTTTATCAACAAATCATTTCAAGAAATGTGTTATTTAGCGTGATAGCTAATTTCAGCTAACTTGCAGTATTTTTTCCCCCCTCGCATTTAACTGCTGAGAATGTTTCTTCAGAAATGTATCTCTAAAATGATATCTTCACCTTGTATTCCCTAATAATATTAATCTAGACATTCTGGCACTGATAACATGCAAAGACCCTGTTAGCATTTAGCACCAACCAACTCTGTGCTGTTTCGTAGCAGCTGTTGTTTAGTATCAACAGTTCTGTTGTTAATTTGAAGTTCAAGTATTTATTTTTGATCATTCTTAGTATGTGAGCACAAAACCCCTTAAAGACTAACTTTATTATTAACTTATTAACCTACTGACAAATACTCAAAACTCAGATTTACACAGATTACTTTTTTTTACCTTGTGCACGTCATTCATAAACTCCTTTATTGTTTACGTTCCCCCCACCCGTTGCGTTCTTTGAATGCCCTCAATAGCTTTCATTTCAAAGAAAGACAAAGTGGAGGAACATGTTTTTCAGGTTTCTATTAAGTGATATGCTGGGAACATTGACCTTGGTAGAACGCTTCTAAAACATACAGCCCAGGGAGCTTACAGGCATGTTTTGTTTTATTGTTTAACTAAAACTCATCAGCATGGTTACTAACCAGTCCACACTCAGGAATTCGACCTGCGGACGCCAACCAAACTTTCTGCTGGAGGGGAAGAAGAGAAAACAAGAACCGTGCCCATTGCTCCACTTCCACACTACTCGACTTTCAGAGGAATACGGTGGATTAAAACATGACCGTACCAAAGAGATTATACGTCTGAAGCAGATCTACAGTTACAGCAGCCGAAGCAAAGAGCTGACAGAGCAGGCTGTTTGGGCTGCTCAAGTGTACGTTAGTTATTGACCTGTAGTTAATCAGGTCCTTGTGCTGCTTGTGAGAAAGCCTTGCACGTGAAGCAGCTTAGAAAAACAGGGCTTGTTATGAGGACGGGGGTCTGGTGGAGTTGGGTGGAGGGATTTCTTTGTGTTCGGACTCAGTGGGTTGCAGGGGGGGGAGCTGAGCCGTTTGTGTTTGCTCTGGGAGACTTGAGAGCGACTCTGTTTGGCAACCGGCGGAGTGAAGTCCGTGATTTAAAGGGGAAGAGGAAGAAAACACACCGTCCATGTCTGCACAAATCTTTAGACGTAACTCGGTAGGAAATAATCCCCGAAGAGTAAATTAATGAGCGAGAGCTTGTTTTTGCTGCTTCTTTGAGAGAAAGCGCTGTGCAACTTGTTTTTTTTTAATCCCAGAAGAAGTCGTGATCATGTCTGAAAGACTAGTTTTTAAGAAACTAGATTCCTAACCGCACGTTTACATACATGCACGCAATTTGGCATTAAGAATAAAGCACACATTTGTTACACAGAACCATTAAAACGTGAGTTAAATTGACCAAGTTAACAAATGTAGGAAGACCTCAATTGCACAGTTTTGGTTTGACCTCTGACCCCCACTAGGCTCTGTCACCTTTGAACCTTTGGAATGCGATTTGGAAAGCTCGTGTAAACACGACTTCCAGTCTGGACGTCGTTGTCAAAAAACATGAACTTTGGACTGGATCTGAACCACATCATGTAAAAAAAGCACCTTAAAGGATAAAAAAAGATTTCCTTAAAGTGACTCGTTGGAGAGCTAAGGATGACCAAACATCCAGATGAACATTTTGTGTAACTTTTCTGTCTGTTGACCTGATAATTTACAGATTATCACGTCTGGCTTTAATCCAAAGGATGAATTTCCTGTCACATTTTCTCTGACACATCGTGTATCAGTCCAAAGCACTCGTCATTCCTTGGAGGTTTGCATATAAAACATGACGGGAGGTTTACGGTACACGCAGAGGACAGGTGATGACTGTAGTCATGGGTTTAGCCTATTTATAAGTTCAGGTCCTTTTTTTTGTGGTTTTCCTGTCTGAATCTCAGCATGAGTCATTTTCAAAACAACACGTAAATACGTTTGCTAAAATGTCATTTAGACACAAGACCATGAGAAGTAAGGGTGTGGTGGGTGCTGCAGCACCCCCTCATGGATGTCAGAGGACATGGATGTTTAAATACATAAAGGATTAAAGGTATTAAATGCAGAAAGTGAAATCTAACCTTAAAACATTAGCCTGAAGTAATATTTCAGACTGTCATGTAAGAGTTGACTGGCAGTTTTCCAGATGTTTGTTTCTGAAATGCAGGTGCGCACTCAATGTCAACAAAGTACTTTTATCTGCATTCTTAACAAATCTGAGCACAAACTTGTGCTGACACATCAAATTTGCCAGATTCCTCCACTCCAAACGGCTCTTCCATGGACGTCGACCTGTTTTCAGCCACTTCAGTCGTTTATGTAGGTAAACAAACTCTCCTGGTAGATGGCAGTCACTTTTTTATTTAAAAACACATAAAATGACCTGTTTTTATGAGTACCTTTAATGAAAATGAAATCAAACAGATTTAATTTGGACTTTTTTTGTCATAGTCTGTGCATTTTGGTTAATTGTTGGTAGGATTTTTTTTTTTAGTACTGTATTTTTCGCTGTATAAGTTACAGCTTTTTGCATAAATTAGCAAGCCCTGTGACTTATACAGCGAAGCAACTTATTTATGTTTTTTCCCATATTTAGAACCCAATTTTTGCTGAGATCTGACAATTTCATTCATTTTGACATGGAAAATATTGAACACTACCATTTTCAGCCACTAGAGGGTGGTTGAGTAATATGGCAAGCCAAGTGTCTCATTAATAAGTAAAAGTGTCTATTAATGAGACACTTGGCTTGCCGTACAGAGCTACATTCGCCTCACTCTGTAACTCGTGCAGCAAACGTCAAACAGCTGCATTTCGCCGCGCCGCCCAGATGAAATGCAGCTGTTTGACCGTCCAAGTGCATTTATTAAAGTAAAGTTCAACTGAGACGCACCTTTACTATGATGTCGAGCAAACAATTCATTGTTTTTAAGTGTTAATCTTAAGTTCTTGTTAATGGTGCCCATGACACAAGTCCGGCCCTCCTTGGACTGCGCAGGGATTTCCCTTCTACATTTTTTTAACGACTTTATGATGAAACGGCACAATTTTACACTTTTTTCTATTTTTTTTATACAAACATTTGAGCTTTTTTCAACATTTCTCTTATTTTTCCCCGTTCCTGTTTGAGTTTTTGTCTTTAGCATGTAAATAATTGTGTGTTTGTGTGTGTTCAGGGATTCTGGACAACGAGGACGTCCGCACGATGATGCAGGGCTCGAGCATGGTGAAGGTTCGCTCCTCGAGGTGGCAGAAGAGTCGAGGTCTGCGGCTGCTGGAGGACGGGCTCACCGTGTGGTGCGAGTCCACCAAGAGCTCCTGGAAAGCCAAATCAAAGCAGACGTGTAAGTTTGACTGAAACATTTATGGCACGTTCAATAAAAATAAAAACATGTTGTTTTTGTAGATTGGTGAGTTTTCTCTTTAAATCTGAACCTGCTCTTTGAAGGAACCTTGGCCTTCAGAGGCTCCTGGAGAAATAGAAATATAAAAAAAATGGGCAGTTTAAAATTTCTTTGTTGATTTTCCCGCATCCAACACAGAAGAGAAGCCGTAAATAATTCTCATGTGACAACAGGAGTGAGTCCAACTGGTTCTGTCACAACTGGAAACTGAAATGGGAACCAAAAATAATTGAAGCCCAGCGCCACTCCTTCACCTGCGAGTTCAATCCCAGACAGATTTCTGTCAGATTATTATAAGATTAGCACAGGAGTTTCTTCTCCCAATTAATTGTATTTTGTTCCAGAGCCACAAAAAGTATTTGAAGTGGAAAAAAGAAGCTAACATGCGTTTTTTATTTATGTGAAAAAGTCAAATTTGGTAAATTATACACAGTAAATAAACATTTACTATGAACTCCGTTGGTATTTTTACACGTTAAGACAAAGAAAAAAGCCAAACTCTTGTCAGGAGAAAAACATTTGGTTTGAATAAAATGTAAACACTGAACTTGCAGCTTTAATCCTTATTATATTTGTGTAATATTTATAATGAAGCATTTGCTTCTATTCAAGTAGCTTATTAGTTAATATAAAAAGGCAAGTGGTTGCACATTTATATGTGATTTCCTCCAGATATCATGATTAATATTATGTTTTAGTGCCCAGAGTAGTGTGGACTGACGAAGAGAGACTGACACATTCAATTAAAGTGACTTTATTTGCATTGCCCAAAGGCTTAGGGTAGAACCTGGATGGGACTGGAAGACAGGCAAGTGTCTTAGCTGTAAGGCTAGTGCCGTATTTTCCGGAGTATAAGTCGCATCAGTCAAAAAAAGCATTATGAAGAGGAAAAAAAACATATTAATTCATTCAACCTTTATTATACAAGTTAATCCCATTGAGCCTCGGGGACTCATTTACAAGAGAGACCTGAAAATATATAAGTTGCTTCTGTGTATAAGTCACTTTTATTATGCATCTTTGCTGACCCGTCGTGTTTATTATGCATTTATGTAATGGTCAAAACAGCTTCATTTCGCCAGGGCGGCACGGCGCCGTTCATCCATCAATCACGGCCGGAGCCGCTAACTTTAATTTTTTAGGAAATTTAATGCATCAGTCAAAAATTGTGTTATGAGTATGGAAAACAAAAAACGTATATAAGTCGCAGGACTAACAAATCTATACAAAACACTGCGACTTATACGCCAGAAAATACGGTACTTTGTATAATGTCTTTAATGTCCCTATAATCCTAAAACCTTGAAAACAGGACAGCCGGTACCTCCCAAACCCAGATTACAAACAACTATTAACTGAAAAGACGCTGTGCGAGGCTGGCGTCTTTAAAGGAAGGAGCGAACGTCGAGATCGAGCACGAAGCTGCTGACACCAGACCAACGCTACGGGCCTCTCCTCTTCCCCCCTCGCTCGTTTCACCAGCCGCTCAAATCTGGAAACAGGACGTTAATTAAGCAGAGACTCCTTCACAGTAACGTGCAACACTCGAGCAACGGTGACGGAGGATGTGACTGTCGTTGGATAAAAATATCCTCTATTTATCTTTCCCAAAATGAGCCGCACTCGGCGGCAGATTTTTTAAACTGGTCAGATGATCGTGACAGGCCGCAGTTATACAGAAAGTCTACAAAATGAAGACCAGGCACGAGAATCTGCCACGGGCAGCGTGCGAGGCTTGTTTTTATCTCCTCATCAGCTTCTCCAAGCTCACGGACTCGGAGGCGACCTTGGACTGCGCCTTCAGTCTCAAATCACCTCCTCATCCCGTCCTCTCTACTAACTCAAACATGTGGTTCATGGGCAGTTAATTTCACTTATTTGCCCGTTGCCGTGTTGTTTGCCTTGGACAGAAGTTTCGGGCGACCGCGGTACAACGGTCTCGCCCACATCAAGGCAACGCACAAGATGTCGTAGGAAGCACGCATACCTGAGTAGAGTCGACGCGAGCCGTGGTGAGACTGGACGGTGGAAGAACGGCTCGTGTGCGACACTTCCTGTTACAGGGATCACTTTAACTTCACAAACACCCGAAGGAGTTAAAGAAACTGGAAAGCAACAGATTTACTGACTGTTTTCAGCAGATAGGCACAACAATCTGACGGTTTTGTTGATTTTATTGCACAGCTGCTTCAGGTGGAAAAGATTTACCCAGCTTTTTGCTTTCCTACTTTTCAGTTCTCGCTGACGCAGGAAAACGTTTTACCGCTGACGCTCTGCAGGGCACAGAGCGGGGAGGAGGGCTGACTTGTGGGTCGGCTGGTGGTGAAGGCTGCCTTGATTGTGTTGAAAATAAAAATAGATGCACTGAAGTTGCAACATCCTGATGACATCAGTGAAGACCAGGCAGGCTGCTGCTGAGAACCAAATCAGTCTCGGCTTGATTTCTCTGTTCAGAGCCTCCAGGTCCAGTTTTATCTGTTGTGTCCAACACTCCAAAGCACCGGGCTTACAGCGCAGCTCTTCACACTTCTGTTTTCTGTTTACGCTTGGAAACACTCACACATGCATGTCACGTCTCTGGGATAACCTCGAAGAAAGAATGTGCAGAGATTTGTGAAGAGGTGGGGAGCAGAGGCTTTTATGGCCTTTAGCTTCAGAATGAAGCTATTGTCAGGACAGACAGCTCAGTGGTCGCCACGCTGAAGGCTTCTGGACATGCAGTGTGAACGCTGAGCGCTAAATGGCTTTCCTTAAATTTGCCCAACAAGCTGGAACTGAGTCGTTACAGCTAAAAGGAGCAGAGCACCGGTTGAAAGGAGAAACCTGCAAGCTAATACAGGAGCAGAACATTTGCTAAAAACAGCCAAATACTAGCTAAATGCTAAGAGCAAAACATTTTTTAAAGTGTAAAGTAGCAAAATGCTAGTGAAATGCAAAATCAAGCTAAACGCTAGCTTAATTTTGAGCTGCAAAATATTTGCTAAAAGTAGAAAACTGAAAGCAAACTGATGAAAAAGACAGAAATATTTTATAAAGGCTAAAACTATCAATATGCTAGCTAAATGCTGAAAGTTTAAACATTTGTTAAAAGCTAAAATAAGCAAAGTGGCTAATGTTTAAATGAGCAAAAGATCCAAACTGCTAAAAGGGAGGAAACATTTGCTAAAAGCTAACCAGTAGCAGATAGCAAGTTAAAATTAGCTAAATGCTAACTAAAAGGTAAAAGGAGCAAAACACTTGCCTAAAGCTAAAAGTAGCAAAGTATTAGCTAAATGCTAAAAGGAGAAGAGCATTTGCTAAAAGCAGCAAAATACTAGCTAAATGCTAAAAGCAAGACATTTTTTAAAGCTTAAATTAGCAAAATTCTAGTGAAATGTGAAAACAAGCTAAATCCTAGCTTAATGCCAAGAGCTGCAAAATATGTGCTAAAAATAGCAAACTGATTTAAAAAACTGAAATTTTTTATAAAGGCTAAAACTAGCAATATGCAAGCTTAATGCTGAAAGTGGAAACATTTGCTAAAAGTAGCAAAATGATGGAAAAATGATAAAACAGCTTAAACACTAGCTAAATTCTAAATGGAACTAAACATTTGCTAAAAGCTAACAGTAGCAGATCACAAGCTAAAAGTAGCTAAATGATAACTAAATGGTAAAAGGAGCTGCCGGTGTCAAACACTTCATCATCATCATCATCAACTTTATTTATAAAGCACTTTAACACAGCCATAGCTGAAACAAAGTGCCTAAAAGTAATTAGCTAAGAACTAGCTAAATACAAAAAGAAGCAATATGGTAGCTAAATGTTAAAAACAGCTAAATATTTTCTGAATGGAGCAAAATTCTATCAAATGATAAAAAGAGCAATTACAATAGCTACATTTTAAAATGAGCCAAACATTTGCTAAAAGCTAAAAATAGCATAACGTTAGCACAACACTAAAAGAAGAAAGATGCTAGCTAAAAGTAGCAAAAACTTTATGAATGCAAAAAGAAGCAGAACGTGAGCTAAAAAATAGCATAAAACAAAGTAGAGCAAGTTTTGGAAAACTTTTAAACAAATATGTGTAACGGTTAGCCTTCGGAACATGTGCAGGGAATGATGCTCAGCTACTACCACCCAATATTTGTAAAATTACAGACATTCGTGTCTCGTTTTATTTTATTGCACAGCATCTCTCTTCTTGACCTTCAGCGGCTCCGTGTCTCCTCTCTCCCAGTCGCTGTCACGGAGGTGGAGTGCGTTCGTGAAGGCTGCCAGTCCGAGGCGCTGAGGCGGCTCTCCGGGTCCGTGCCAGAGAACCAGTGCTTCACGGTGGTCTTTAAGGGAGCCAGGAAGAGCCTGGACCTGCGGTGCTCCTGTCCGGACGAAGCCCAGCGCTGGGTGCGAGGCCTCCGCTTTCTGAAGGAGCGCGTGCAGAGCATGACGCAGAAGGAAAAACTGGACCAATATCCTGCTGCCGTATGTTTCCAGTACGAGTGCAGCTGAGGCAGCATCACTATGGAGGCTGACTCACCTGCACAGCTCACACGAGCCGTCATGGCCACATGGAAAAGCACCGTCCAAATGTACCTCACCTGTCTCCATTATTTACCATCTCTCATAGCCAGAGGACGAGGGAGTGTAGTTCTCAGCTGCAGGTCCATTTCTGTATTTTCTCCATGGGCAACAAGAACTCTAAAATAAAAAGAACTTGTAAAAAGAAATATGAAAAGAAAGCTAAAAAAATCCAGCAATTAGTCAGTGACGTGACATCATGAAGAGTAATTCAGTTAAAGGTTTAGTTCAGCTCCTGCAGTGGAAAAGTTATGAACAGTTAATATCTTACCTGCTGTAGATAGCTCTTTGAATAGTTTGGTGAACTCTGACCAGATGAATGAGCTAAAAGTGAACGGTGTTAAAACAACTCTAGTTTTACAGCACCGATGTTTTAAACCTTTATATCTCTTTGAACAAGTCCACTTTGATGTTGGCCCTGCTCAGACTAGCCATTAGCTCATCCTTCCATCCAGAATAAACCATCTACAGCAGGTAAGATAGTAGCTGTTAATAACCTTCCCACAGAGCCCCACACCTGTCCAAACGCTGCCGTAGTGGTTTCACTTGAAGTTCTTGTATCTTTATGTCATTGTTTTTCTTAATTCCCTTCACTTGGATCCGGGGCTACCTGAAGCGTGCGGATGAGAACCAGGACGGGAACATGACCTACGCCGAGGTCAAACAGCTGCTGCAGATGATCAACGTTGACCTGAGTGAGCACTACTCTCGCGCTTTGTTCAAGGTCAGAGTCATGACGGTCTCTGCATCCGTTTAGTGTCCTCTTGAACCTGTGAATGCTGTTTGTTCTGGTTTTATACTTTGTGATATTTTAGCTGTTTGTATTTCAAAATGTTCGGCTCATTCGGGAGATGGGTGCCACAGCTTTTGTTGTTTCTAACGTTCGTTCTTTTAAAATAATTTTTCTTTACAAATATTTCACCATGGAAACAGAGATTTGTACTTCAAAATCTTTGCTCTCTTCAAAATCTGCTTCCTGTTTTTATCTTCTTTTGCTGCTTTTAGCTACTATTCTACTACTTTGACCTTTTAGAAAAACTTTTTGGTACTCTTAGCTTTTAGCTAGCCTTTTGATATTTTTAGCTTTTAGACACCCTTTTACTCTGTTTGGCCTTTAGCTACCATTTTGCTGCTTTGCTACTTTTAGTTATTAGCTAGACTTTTGCCACTTTAGCTCTTAGCCAGGCTTTAAGTATCTTTAGCTTCCCCATCCCCCACCCCCCAGCTTTTTACTACTTTTTCCTTCTAGCTTGCCTTTTGCAAATTTGAGCTTTTAGCTACTTTTCAGCTACTTTTACCAGTCTTTGTACTTGGTTTAGCATTTAGCTATCATTTTGCTGCTTTTACTTCTAGGCAGATTTTTTTTATATACTTTTAGCATTTATAACTAGCCTTTTAACATTTTCAGCCAGATTTAGTGAACCTTTTGCTATGTTGAAATTCTAGCTAGCCTTTCGATACATTTAGCTTTTAGCTGTATTTTTGTTCCAATTAGCTTTTAGCTAACATTCTGCTGGTTTGCTGCGTTTAGTTTTTTTTTTTTTTGGCTAGCCTTTTGCTACTTTTAGCTCTTAACCAGACCTTGAATATCTATAGCTTTTAAACGTCCTTTTACTACTTTTATATTATGCCTATCCTTTTGCTAGTTTGGCTTTTAGTTACTTTTCTGCTACTTTTATAGCCATCGTTTTACTCTGTTTAACATTTATCTACCATTTTGCTGTTTTTATTTTTAGCTAGCTGTTTGCTTCATTTAGCCTTTAGCCAGGATTTAATTACTTTGGCTTTTAACTAGCCTTTTGCTACATTGAGCTTTTAAGCTATAGGCTTATAGAGTGGCCAAGAGCTAAAAGTAGCAAAAAGCTAGCTAAAAGCTAACAGTAGCAGAATGACAACTAAAAGCTAAATGTAGCAAAAGGCTAGCTAAAAGCTAACAGTAACAGAATGACAACTAAAAGTTAAATGTAGCAAAAGGCTAGCTAAAAGCTAACAGTAACATAATGACAACTAAAAGTTAAATGTAGCAAAAGGCTAGCTAAAAGCTAACAGTAACATAATGACAACTAAAAGCTAAATGTAGCAAAAGGCTAGCTAAAAGCTAACAGTAACAGAATGACAGCTAAAAGCTAAATGTAGCAAAAGGCTAGCTAAAAGCTAACAGTAACAGAATGACAACTCAAAGCTAAATGTAGCAAAAGGCTAGCTAAAAGCTAACAGTAACAGAATGACAACTAAAAGCTAAATGTAGCAAAAGGCTAGCTAAAAGCTAACAGTAACAGAATGACAGCTAAAAGCTAAATGTAGCAAAAGGCTAGCTAAAAGCTAACAGTAACAGAATGACA